CGTAGAAAACACATGCTCACCAGTGACTGTGGGCATTTGTGCACATTTGTGCTGTAAAACTAAAGGAGGGTTAATGAGCCGTAGTTTTTAACCAGAGACTTTACATGTACTTGGTTTTGAAAATCTGGAAGAACAAGTATCAAAATATCAGCCCGCCTGGCGAGCCTGATGGAACATCTAAAAACTGACTGTAAAACAAAAATGGTAATCCGGTGTTGTCAAATACCAACAGTGTATTCAATCAGGGAGTCAGAAATAATGGTAAAACTAACCCAAGAAAATTTAAAACCCCAAAAAATAAAATCTGTAAACTCACTGTAAAAAATGTGTCCATGGATTTTGTAACTGTTCCCTTTCTCATCAGAGCGCTGGGACACATGTACATGTACACATGCACACATTTACATGTACACATGTACATGCACACATGTACATGCACACAGGTACATGCACACATGTACATGCACACAGGTACATGCACACATGTACATGCACACAGGTACATGCACACATGTATAATGCGTAACTTGCTCAGTGTGTGCCTCCAAAGGCATTGGAGTGAGATGAGCAAACTACAGTTTGAATGGCAGAAGCTACACACTGTATTAAACCAGTCTCACTTTAATATTGTTCAGATTCGGCCATGATGACTCACCTCACATACTGTATGTGTAATATTTGTGACAAATCTAACAGAAGGATGTGTCTTGTTTTTCCTGACCCAACAAATTCGTCCACATGTCATTTGCATTGTACAGAAGATTATAATTACTTTTTTCCATTTTTCTTTTTTCAGCATTCTCCCGAAGATGACCCCCAGTTGGCTAAGGTCCAGAATACTTACAAGCTGATGCACACACACCAGACCGTTGAGTATGTCCGTAAGAAAGTGAGTGAAAAACCCCTCTCCCTAAACATATTGAAGACTGTACACTGTGAGTGTCAAGCCGATGGTGTGTTTGAGACTCACTGAGACTGTCTTGCCGGGTTTTAGGTTTTATTAAACTGTGAGCAATTAGTGCTATTCTTGGTTATTTGAATTGTACAGTCGTTATCTCTGGCAAGTTGCATTTCACTAGTAAATTGACCCAAGCACCGCCGAATATTAGTCAAAGCCTGTTGGTACATTCCTTGTACTGAGTAAAGATTACTGAAAGCATAATGTACATTGCCGTAGTTCAACGCAAAGTTGGAAGATTGTCATTATGTTCCAAGATTCACATCCGTAGTTGTGGAAGTGCCCATGGCATGGTCTCATTTAGTCATGTTCACGTACATGTTCTTGTTTTGTACAGCACGAGCAGTGGGGCAAGTTTGACCATGGCCAGTTCTCAATCATGCAGGCGTTGGAGTTTATCAACACCATCATTGACGAATCAGATCCAGATGTAAGTAGCAATGTCTCTCAAACAACTCCTTTCTAGAACTCCGTTTCCTTTTCTAAGATGTCTTGTTCCACTCAAGCACTCCATTCTTTTAGGCCTTGGCAGCATTAAAAGTTTATACTCTTCCATGCTCAGTCCATTACAGAAATTGGTTTGTAAAATATATAGGTATCAGGCTTTTGATTTGTCAGGATTTTTCCTGATTTCAGGATGTTTTCGTCAGGATTTTCCATCAAGATTTCCCTTGTTTTTCATGATTTTTCAAATAATTCAGAAAATGCAGAGTTCACCATTGAGGTATTTTTGCCGATAAGATCGATACACAACACAAGAAAAGGGTTTTTTAAAAGGGTGCCTGTAGGCAGACCCAATATATGCCATAGACCCTGCACTGCTGTGGGGCCCTCAAAACCTCAGGTGATTATTTGGTGGTCCTCCAGTCTCGCCCCTTGGGTATTGATGCTGCAGAACCATACATGTTTACTTGTAACAACTGGATCTGGCAGTAATTGGTCAAAAAGAAAAGAAGGGAAACTAATGAGGAACAGTTGAACAATGAAGTCCATAAGTGGAATCACCTTCAGACATGACAGATTCGAGCACCACCGTTTTCTTTCTCAATATTAAGATAAATATCCAGACAAATATCTAGCATATATTGTGTTGGAGTTTGTATCAATTGGTATACAGTACCGAAGTGGCCACATCACACGCATAATTGTGCGTGTAAAAGGCATTAGGGCGATAATCAATGCACGAACCAACACGCGTGCGTACTCCATTTTTTGGAACTACACTTTCTGGTTCACAGTGACATCACACTTCGGTACACTATATGCACCATTTAGTGATCTTTTGTTTGTTTTTTGGCGGTTGGTACATGTATGTATTGGTGCAAACAAACTTGATAACTAACTGTATGGGTTGTAGACTTAGTATTGCACTTGTGCCTTCATATTCATAGACGAGCGTGCCAAACATTTACCATGCCTTCCAGACCGCTGAACGAATCCGAGAACGTCACCCCGACAAAGGTTAGCCACTCCTTGTTTGTCTGCTTGGTTCTGATGTGTATCAGAAAGTTAGTACTCCCAGATTCTGTTCCGTTTCTCTGCTTGTGATGAAAAGTTTCCCCTGTGACCCATGAAATGGAAACAAAATAGGTTGGTAGTTGTATCAGTTGAAGGATGAGTGTGTTTGACTGGTAGAACCGATCTGCTCCTTTCTTTTGTTATACTTACATTGGTGACAGACTGGTTGATCCTGACTGGACTGATTCATGATCTGGGCAAGGTGATGGCAGCTTGGGGGGAACCACAGGTAAGGCACCTGTTGATGCAGCTCATCACGCAGCCAATGATTCCTGAAACCTGTTTGTCTCACATTTACCTGCTGTTTAAAGCATCGGGGGTACAAACCCCGTCATCTTTCTCGACCTTAGCTGCAAACATTCAGAGATGTTGCAGGTATACATTCAGTTACTTGATTGGTCAGTTAACAATGGTGACCATTTGGTCACATTTTTCAATGGAAAACTCCTTTTGTAAAAAGAAAAGGTCTACTCTGAGAAATCACTGACTAAAATAATCCCAAGCATTCCACCTGACTTTTTAATGCTCTAGTTAATTTTTTTCTATTTCGCACTTTAAGCACATAAAGTCTGGAGGTCCTGGTCTTTGGCCATTAGGTTATGGTTGTAGTCATGGACCCCGAGATCCTGGTATTGGTCTCTGGGGATTGTGTTGAAGTCAAGTCCAGTCACAATGTTGTTCACAAGTCCTTTCACAAGGCAAGTCACAAGTAACAGGGTGAACAATGACAAAGTAATGCTTTTTTCACAACTTGGGATGGACTTGTGATTGGTGTGTCTACAACACACAACTCATGAGCTGTAGGTCTTGGTCTCAGCTTCAAGGTCATGACTACGACATGGTTTATTCATGAGTACTCCTTTTCATGTTTGTGTAACTTTTGAGCTGGATTTGGTTTGTCTGTTCTTCAGTGGTCCGTCGTTGGCGATACTTTCGTTGTCGGCTGTGCTTATGGGGACTCCATTGTCTACCGAAAGACCAGCTTTGATGACAACCCCGATTTGAAAAACCCTGCTTACAAGTAAGTGATAAGCAAGTCTTCTTGTAATGCATGTTTTATTTAATCTTTGGATTTGAGACTTCAAAATACCTTAACACCTGAGATCACAATGGTTCCCTTCACTCAAAATCACAGAATAAACACTGGGTGCCACAAGGCTCGTTAGAAAGTCCCCTTGCAATTAGGAGTTGGTTCTGAGAGGGGAGCTCCATGTATATTCCACATGGGAATTGACCTGCAGTTATTTAGTAGACCCCAATAAGGAGGTAAGATCTTAGTCAATCGTGTCATCGTATAATCAGGGTTATTGGGTAGTTGTATGGAAAAAATAGGCTTGTGATCACTGCATGGCCTTTTCATGTTGCTGTATATTTTTTGCACTCTTATTTGACGTTTGGTTTGGTATGCCCTGAGCAGAATGCCATACATCCACTTGTTATGGACGTTTGCCAAGTCACGCATCCCATTTGAAGGTTACATCACCTCGGGACCGTTAAGGGTAGTTAGTGACCTCTGATAACCCAAGTGAGGTGTAATTTGTGACCCACTTTGCCAAAATGAGTCGCATGTTGCCAGAGCCAAAGAATCTTGCACAGTGTTTAATCAAATAATAGGAAGACTCAACATTTTAAAATCCACACAACGTCCATGTTCATCACACCAAACTGAATGACATCAGAACAGAGCTCAGTTACCTCAATCTAAGGCAGCATCCGAATTTGTTGTCTAGAGCTAGGTCTAGGTCCTTGCTCCATTGGGAGTGCGTGGAGACACCAAGACAATAGACCTAGCCATAGCTCTGGAAGCCAAATGTCAGAGAAGGCCTAATACAAAGTGAAACTCAACAATAGTTCCAGTGACTTGTGACTCATTTTTACAGAGTGGGTCATATGTGTTTACCCTTTTAGGGTATCCATCTGGGAATACCTGCTTGGGTTATTTTTTTACCTTCAAAGTTTCTACATGTATAAGTTATGTGTATACACCAACAGAGGCAGATAAAAGGGGATATGAAAGGGGAGTTAAATGCTTGTGTTTATGTACTACGGTGATCCACTAATAACTTTTGATTGTTTCCTCAGGGCAAGGGGGTGTTGAAATGGGGCCGGGTTTGGTCCCCCAATATAACCTTTTTTTTAATTTCCTCAGCTCTAAGTGTGGCATTTATGAAGAACACTGTGGCTTGGCCAACGTGATGATGTCATGGGGCCACGATGGTAGCTTGCTGTTTTGTTTGTTGTTTGCAAAGATGCATTAGTTTGAAACTGTGACTTGCGCATCACTTTCATGCAAATCCACCAGTTTGGCTTCATTTACGTGTATACTCATTGGCCATCGTAGGAGTAAAAAAAAATCAGAAAAGGATTTTCCTCTCAGAATTTCATAACTAATGCACCTTTGATCGCTTTCATTTCCTAACCCAAACCTTGCTGAATCCGAGAAGGTCCAACGTCGGAAAAAGGTCTGATGGGTCTCTCTGTTCCATACAAGTGAAGAGCAGATCTTGTTGCTGGATTCAGCAAGGTTCTTAGAGGATGGCTTTCCCTCACATTTAAGCAGTGACCTTTTAACTCCAATAAACGAGTCTTTCCACCAGACACCCTTCTTGCTGACAGCATTTATTGCTAATAACTAGGCCTTTTCTCAAAACGTGGCTTCAGCTTTGGATCTGGCTCCATGATTTTAAGTTCCTGACTGTGGCAAAAGGCTCAGGCTCAGCTTACACACAGAGCAGCAATATCTATGCCAGAAGCATAGACCCTATTTTTTTGGTTAAGAGCTTTTATTTCCCCGGTGGAGAAGCATTTATGTTTTTCCCCAGTCAAGGCGCATTGCACTTCCTCAGAAAACAAAATGGAGGGATAAGGGGGGGTCTCTTCAAATATAGATCTCTCTAATAAGACACCATCTTTGTAGGAAAATTACTGTGTTCTTTTACGCCATTAGATGTATTTGCGCATAGTGTACAAAATATTTTGTACACCTACAAACTACCATCAAAACCTTTTTCTTGACACAGCTATTGGGCGTCAAGAAAAAATGACATCCACAATGCAGATGTATGTGACAGTCTGTAGGAAATGACGTCATTGGAGAGAGACCAATTGGCTAAGGTGTAGTTGTCCACATTTTGCCAACACAAGTGAAATCATACATGGTAACATTTCACATTCCGAAGGCAGCATAATGGATGATGGGTTTTCATCCTGTGCAAGTAAGAATGAAAACACAACATCAAAGCAAAGTTGTTGAGAAGAAGTGGTCAGGACCCTGTTGTTATTTGACTTCAGCTGTGGAAATACAATATTTCCAGGATATCAGATATCTCTGGTGCCTATGTCTTTATGAGCCTACAGAAAGCCTCTTTGACAAATCATCCTGAAACTGGACAAAGTTGTAGGCTGAGATGCAATGATTTTTTCCTCTGTGGATGAATACCTAAGTGGAGTTGCCTGAGCTACATTTTGTTCATTGACTTTTGGTCCATCATGAACAAAGTAGGCCAGGGAAAAAAAACAGATAAATGAACGAACTTGCTGACTATTTTTTGTTTCGTACGTAACACCACTGTTATTACCTGATTTCCGTCTCAATTGCCTAAAATACAGAAATATGCACGGAATGGAAATGATAAGTCTTGATGTTGGCAACAGTGAGGGCACCAGTGCCAGAGTTGAAGCCAGTCAATCCGATACTATAGCCGTTTTCCAATACTTGATTTCGTCCCCATCTCAGGCTTTGTCTCCAAAATCAGTCTCCGACTGTGGCTCCAAAGTGTTCAAATTAAAGTGAATCACCTTTATATATTTTGCTCTTGCACACCTTTTTTGATATTTCTGGCATACTGTCGGACTTACTGTTGAGCTAACCACCTGGAAGTTAGATGTAAAAAAAAAAAATAGATGAAGCCTGGGATGCAAGGACGTCAATTCAGTTTGAAAAGTTGGGGGGGGGAGGCATAGCCCTGATCAGAACAAATACGAGTGTGAAGCCCTGAGTGGCATGCGGTATAGATACTTTGTGGTGTGATCTGAGAGAATTTCTGGCTACTTTAGCCATTTTTTTTTTTACCAATGCTTTTGCAAGGTATACATTTTCATTTAGTTTTTGGAAAAAAGTGGGGGGCGGGGAATTGATATAGTATCTCCCCCCACTTGGAAAAGTAGGGGGAGGGGACATGTTCCCCCCCATCCCCCACCGATTGACATCCATGCTGAGATGGACATGAAGTTGAGTATTGAAAAACAGCCGACATACTTGTATTAGATCAGCTGCCCGATTTCTCTTGTCCATTTTGACCTTTTTACGTGTGGATAAACAATCCCCTGTATGAATTCAAAGCAATACAGGATACCAGTGAAGCAGTGTTCTTGTTCTGATCAAGCTTACAAGATTTTGAAAAGCCTGGTTTCATTTCACTTGTAGATTGCATATTTGGTTGGCCTATGATATATCCCTTGCCAGCTTGTATGAGTTTACCAGCTGTGTCCTTCCCAACCAAAAAAGCCATCAACTCTTGACAAGCACAGTTGGAATTCATGTAGGAGAATACTTGAAAACTACTTGCTGTGTCTGATAATTTGCACCTTCTGATCTCTCTTAACTACACTACCTGAAGCATAATTCCTGGATGCCAATTCCAGAAAGACTAATTTGCCTTCTTAATGTCTTCCGTAGAGTACTTGTACAAGGTGATGGTTGAGAACAGCTGTAAGCTTCCTGAAGAGGTAAGCAATGAACTTAAACTGTTATGTTGCCAAATAAACATCTGTGTTGGCAAACAGCAGATGATAGCGGTAGGTTAGGTTTTATTATTTTGGGTACATCTGGTGGCCTGACGGCCAAATTACTTGTATGTTATATGTTAAAAAGTAGAAACTGACACCAATTTAAATTAAATTTAATAAAATACAAAAAATGACGATGGACAGAAATCAACTTCACAACTAATAGTCGCAGACTCCAAATAATACTGGGTTTTATCTGTTTAAAACATCAATAAAGAAGGGTGTAGGACTCTTCTTGAAGCTTGTGATTCAGAAAATGTGTTCTGAACTTACAAAATCATATGTCAGATGTGACAGGGACGTGAAAACAATGGCTCCCTAATTTCTGGAATTACCCACGTACAGTACCAACTCATAGTCATTTACAGGGTGTAGGGTTTAGTTAAACCAAATCAAAGCATGATAGATCCAACGTGATTCCCTGCAGTTTACATTGAGCCTCAAGTTTAGGGCTACAAGGCCGATATTCATAAAAGCCTGCTAACTTAGCAGCCAACTGGGCCTCAGCAGCCTGCTGAATCAGTAGTTCTCTGCTCCATGGTTACCAACTAATTTGGTATTCATAACCCTTGCTGAAAATGTTATCAGCCAGGTGGCATCTAGGTATGTTAAGCAAGCAGCTAGGACATCAGGCAGTTACTCAAACCCCTATTAAACCAAAAAATGTGTATTCGCATGTCAATAGGATATGGTGAAGTTTTGGATAGGTCAAATGACTTTTGGGAATAGCAGCCAACTAAGCTTAGCGGGCTTTTATGAATTGATTAATAGTTGTGCAAGCTCGAGTATAAGTCTCGCCATGTTCGCTGCTGAATGTGTAACCCACAAATGATTTAGTTGCCACCTAGTGACTTGGAGATATCCCAGATCAACTCTAATGTTAGCAACCAACTAAACTTAGCAAAATGTTATGAGTATTAGTTAGTTTCCAATTAGGCCTAGCTGTCAACTTGGGGCTGTTTGAGCAGCCAACTAGGCTTTCATAGCAGGCTATTATGAATATCGGCCTAGGTCTTTAACTCCACCTTTCATCAACCACGGCCTTTTCCAACTGATTATCTGGGCTGTGTTACAATTGCAATCCACCTGCGATTTTTGGTCTAGGCTTTGTACATCATCCGCTACCATTCCTTCTACCCTTGGCACACCGGTGGTGACTACATGCACCTGTGCAACAACAAGGACCTGGAGATGCTCAAATGGATCCGTGAATTCAAGTGAGTGGTGATCACACGTCAAGCAGGTGGTGTGCAAGAAGCATACTTTCAAAACAAAATGGTAGCTG